TAAATAAATAAATAAATAAACTAAACATCTTATCGATGACTGCAGTTTGTTTTATTTATTTTTTTCATTTTCAAAAGAAAGACTTTACAGTACACAATGAGATTACCATGTGACAAAACGTAACGTGTGCGCCTGACATTCAGAGCGCGTACGAACAGAGTGCATGCATGGTGRCTGTCGGTGTCCTGTTATTCCCGTAACATGAAGAGAATCRCRTTTTCTTTTTGTACGTCTCCAGACAGCACGTAACATCGCCAGAAGTAGTTGATAACAGAATAATCAAAACTTTCGTAATAGTAGACGTAGTCCCAGCAAGTTTGCGACTTGTACTTCCTGTTCCATACAGGCATGCGTCTGACGTAATGACACTTTGCGTAGCCCTACTGATTCGCTCGAATTAAAAGAAAAAATATTCCTGTATCCACATYGTAATCCGGATCMTCACCAAAATTTAAWGGTGTGTTCCTTGGGCCAGTACCCACATGTGGTAAAAATGTCATGACAATCTGTCCACAAGTTTTTGAGTAATTTTGTCCACAGACAGAACGACAGACAGCTGGACAGACAGACATACGCGACCGAAAACATTACCTCCTTGGCGGAGGTAATAAATGTTTGATTTTATGCATATAATTTAGTTTGAACCTCTCTCCACAGACTGAACTGGATAATGTGTCCGCCTTGCTGGAAGACGCAGAGAGGAAAGGGATCAAGACGGCCAAAGATGTCGCCGGTTTAGAGAGCCAGCTCCAAGACACACAGGTGACAAACACTGTTCACTATTCTGTTGATTTTTAATGAATCTTTCTTTTAAAGTAATCAGATCCACGTTTATTGTTGCGCAGGAGTTGCTCCAGGAGGAGACCCGTCAGAAACTGAACCTGAGCAGCCGCATTCGCCAGCTGGAGGAGGAGAAAACAACTCTGCAGGAGCAACAGGAGGAGGATGAGGAGGCGCGCAAGAATCTGGAGAAACAGCTGCTGACTCTACAGGCTCAGGTAGGACGCGTGACCTCTGCTGTTCAACGTGTTTAATGCACTCAGTCTCTGATTGTGTTTGTGTTTGAAGCTGTCAGAGAGCAAGAAGAAACTGGAAGATGACGTCGGAACAATCGAGAGCCTGGAGGAGGTGAAGAAGAAACTGCAGAAGGATCTGGAGCTGGCTACTCAGCGTCTGGAGGAGAAGACCATTGCTTTTGAGAAAATGGAGAAGACAAAAACTCGTCTTCAGCAGGAGCTGGACGATCTCACGGTTGACTTGGATCACCAGAGACAGATTGTGTCCAACCTGGAGAAGAAACAGAAGAAGTTTGATCAGGTTACAATCCGTTTTGTTTTCCAGCAACAACTTGCTGGGGTTCTTATGTTTTGTTTTGCTTTTTTGTGTAAACTGACTTTATGGAAGTATAAATAGGTTAATCCTCCTGTTTTTCAGTTTACACAGGTTTTAAAAGTCACCTTATATCACCACTTTTGTTTAAATACTGATCCACAATCTCATCTGTAGATGCTAGCCGAGGAGAAGAGCATCTCGGCTCGTTTCGCGGAGGAGCGTGACCGTGCCGAAGCCGAGGCCAGAGAGAAGGAGACCAAAGCTCTGTCCATGACCAGAGCTTTAGACGAGGCGCTGGAGGCCAAAGAGGAGCTGGAGAGGATTAACAAGCAGCTCCGGGCTGAAATGGAAGATCTGATGAGCTCAAAGGACGACGTGGGCAAGAATGTGAGATGATGGCTTATCCTACTTCCCCCTTGTTTGGCTTTATTTCCCCCCTTCTTTTACTACTTTTCCCACATTTCCCCACATTTCTCAGGTCCATGARTTAGAGAAGTCCAAGCGCACGCTGGAGCAGCAGCTGGAGGAGATGAAAACTCAGCTGGAGGAGCTGGAGGACGAGCTGCAGGCCACCGAGGATGCCAAGCTGCGCCTGGAGGTCAACATGCAGGCCATGAAGGCCCAGTACGAGAGGGACCTCCAAGGCCGGGACGACCAGAACGATGAGAAGAAGCGAGCTCTTGTCAAACAGGTGCCAGAATGTAATTTTCAGAAATTACTGAGCTGTAATGAACCTTGACTCATTTTTACCTTTCCTGACTTGGAATGCCCTCCCAGGTGCGAGAGATGGAGGCTGAGTTGGAGGATGAGAGGAAGCAGAGAGCTTTAGCTGTAGCTGCTAAGAAGAAACTGGAGATGGACCTGAAGGACATTGAGAGTCACATCGAAGGAGCCAACAAGGCTCGAGACGAAGCCATCAAACAGCTGCGCAAGTTACAGGTACTGGTTTTACTCCTCTTTAATCGTGAAGCTTTTCATTCAGTCTCCTCCAGTCACTGAATGACTTTGCCTCCTTCAGGCTCAGATGAAGGACTATCAGAGGGAGCTGGAGGACACCCGGGCCTCCAGAGACGACATTTTTGCCATGGCAAAAGAGACTGAGAAGAAACTCAAGAGTCTGGAGGCTGAGATCGTTCAGCTACATGAGGTCAGTGCCACCTAAAACTACAGCATTTGGCTATGTTGCTGGTTTATGATGCTAACATTTTGTTCAGTTTGGGCTGAAACTTAGTTTTTCTCCTCTGCAGGACCTCGCAGCCTCCGAGAGGGGTCGGCGCCACGCAGAGCAAGAACGAGATGAGCTGCAGGATGAAATCTCAAACAGCACCTCTGGAAAGTAAGATGATGCTATTCAAGCTGAGCACACTGACCTGTGCCAGTAAAATCAATCAATGGGTAGATGCTGTCCACCCCAGCAGTTCATAAACTACAGGTTAGATGAACACCGGACTCATTTTTGGTCCAACACAGGCATTTACTTCTTGGGCAAATTACAGAGTTTAAAAATATTTATAAAAACTTTATTTATTTCACCAGGAAAAACATTAAGAACGGTTTTGAAGTTTACAATATTAGCCTGAAAGTGCTAAAACAAAATGGGAATATGGAGAAGGGCAATAACATTTCAATACATACTGTACAGTGGCTTTTCGTTCATTCTGCAAAACAGTCACGACTCGGTGAAAAGGTCCTTCAGTTTGTTTTTAAAAGCAGGAAATGAAATCAGTGTTGAGATGCTGTGTATTTTGATAAAAGCTCCAATCATTTGAAGCAGTAAAACAGAAAAACACAARACCAAAAGAAGACTTAGTTTTAGGGGCTTTCAATTCAATAAGTTGAGGAATGAGTTTTGCATCTTGAGGGGGATTCAAGTGACTGATTTAAAAAAGGAGGTGAAAGACCTGGTAGTATTTGATAAATGAGCAAGAGCCAGTGGATATTACGACGGGACTGCAAGGAAAACTAAATAACCTGAGTACAACAGACAGTGATGTGTTTTATAAGAGACACAACAAATCAAATGGTGAAATGATAGATTCCTTTGAGAGCATGGTGATAAATTGTCACTTTAATCAAATAAAGGAAGAATATACATTTCAACAATGACTCTTAKCTGAGGATGTAAAAGATGAATGGCTTCTGTACAGGAAGCCAAATTTTGCTTTGACCCTAGTTTGCAGCGTGGTAATGTAGATGGATAATGAACTGTCTAACCAGATTACCAAGGATTTGTAGTCTTTAACCTGCTCAAGGGTTGTTTCATCAGTAGTAACAAAGAGCAAGTCTTGGGGTGGTGGTAGGGGTGGGGGTGTTGCAGGATTTGTTTATTTTTTTTACAGTTAAAACCAAAGGACTTTGTTTTCTTATCATTCAAGGATAATTCTAAATTTGCAAAGATGTTTTAAATGTCCAAGAAGCTGTGTTTTAGACTGAAACAGTGGCTGTGTCTAAATTCAGAGGCTGGGTCCKAAGGACCCGGCCTACCTGGTCTAGGTGGGCTGGGTCCTTGGTAGACCGCGAAGACCGGAAAAAAGTGGCTGTAGATTTGGACGCTCTAGCCTCCCATCCTTACCCCAGCGTACGTCCTGTCACCTTGAAACCGTCACAAYGCTAAACACAAGCAAAACTAGATTGAAATTAGACAAATATCTATATTTTAGTGTTATTATTATCACAAAACAATAAAATTAATTTAAAGGCAATATTTGAAGAATTAACGAACCTGCCGTAGGTGCACATTTATTTCACTATACCAGCTCGTTTTATTTCTGACAAGAATAATAAAAACATGTCCATACAAATGACAAAAACATTAACAACACAGCTGCTTGAAACTTTGAATTTTTTTACCGCCAGATTTGTGATTAAAATTGTATTTCTTCCTTTCGCTTCGTCCGCCATTATGAGCAGAAAAAAAAAATCTCCGGTCAGCCTGCAATGCATTATGGGATAGGATGGGTCAAGAAGGATCCATCGGACCTTTCCCTCAAATTTGGGTCCAGTTTTGACCAAATTTTGACAGCCTCCAGCACGGCGCTGTGACATAAGCGGCTGACAAATTCGGCCTTCGGAGGACCCGGCCTCTGAATTTGGACACAGCCACTGTTTCAGGGGATGGGCTGAAGGCATACAAAATGGTGTCWTCAGCATATAGGTGTACAACACCTTTAATAACAGCTTATGGAATATCATTAATGGTCCAAAGACAACAATTCAACTTTGAAAAAATAAACAGTAACAACAATCCCCAGCTGTATACACCAACAAAAGCACCTGTTTAACTTTGTCATTGCACCAGTAAGTATACAATATATGGGCATAGGGGTGCAGTTGCTAAAGATACTTGAGAACCCCTCATCAAGAGGCACAAATTAAAGCGTTTTAAACAGACTGAACACCGGTTCTTGTTTGCTGAAGATATTACGCTTCTCATTCGAGGCATTTAAAGAAATCTGTGAACATCATATTGATCATCTTTTTTACTTAATAAACTGGTTCTTATGGACCACAAAGTAGATGCTGCTCTCTTTCTCCTTCAGAGAAGTTCAGGAGTCAGTGAAAGCATCAGAGAAGCCAATTACTAAACTTCTCTCTAYTTGTCAGAGCTGCTCTGATGGATGAGAAGAGGAGACTGGAGGCTCGGATTGCCCAGCTGGAGGAGGAGCTGGAGGAGGAGCAGGGCAACATGGAGCTTCTCAATGACAGATTCAGAAAGTTATCCATGCAGGTGTGATTTATTCTCTGTGTTTTGTCRAGGTCAGCGCTGTGGGTCTTRTAATCMTGAGGCTGCAGATTTAAACCCAGATTGCAGCAGAAAAGGGCAAAAAAAAAGCTAAATCCTTCATGTGAGTTTGCTCARTGTGGTGACCCCTGAAGAAGGGAGGAGCCAAAAGAAAACCAGCATAATGTGACGTGCATCCTTCAGATAGAAAATGTCACAGAAAAAGATCACTGTCTTTCAGAAACTTGGCATAAAACACATGATTTTACCAGTTTTAACTTTATAACTGTCATATTTTCTTTTGAACTTGGCTCAGCCAAAGTGAAACAGGAAGTGACATCAGAGGAGATATCTTTAAGAAAAGAAACTCTCTGGTCTTTGCTGAAACAATATTATTTCAACAATGACTCCTTCATCTCTTTGATAGTGACTCAAAATAATCTAAAAAAAAAACATCAGATTTTTCTCTACAGTCTGATGTCAGCCATTGTAGCAACACTGTTCACATGCAGACTTTCCCCTTTGACATCATTTCCTGTTACTTCACATGTGAATATCTCAATAACTGTCCATCTCAGCGGTGCAATTTTTGGCAATATGTTATCAGTGCAACACTATTTATTACAAAATTAGATGTCACAGGCACTTTAAAGCTCATAACGTATTAGACTGTTCTGTTATTTTCTAACTCTTTCTGTGACATGCTCCTCCCCTCGCTACACCTCCTCCAGGTGGACACCCTGACCACAGAGTTGAGTGCAGAGCGCAGCACGGCACAGAAAAGCGAGAACGCTCGCCAGCAGTTGGAGCGTCAGAACAAGGAGCTGCGGGCCAAGCTGAGCGAGCTGGAGGGTTCTGTAAAGAGCCGGTTTAAGGCCACCATCACGGCTCTGGAGGCCAAAATCACTCAGCTGGAGGAGCAGATGGAGCAGGAGGCCAGGTGAGGAGGAATCAAATAAACTTTTTTTTAACTGAGAACTGTGTCGGGATAAATTTGCGATCGTCACTTTTTCTTCACTGAAGGGAGCGAGCAGCGGCCAACAAGATAGTGAGAAGAACCGAGAAGAAGCTAAAAGAAGTTTGCATGCAGGTGGAGGATGAACGTCGCCATGGCGACCAGTTTAAAGAGCAAGTATGTTTGCTGCTCATTAGAGCCCCATGTTTTTGTCATGTGTGTCTCTTCTTGAGTGGGTGTTCTTAAATGTAATTTCACTGTGCTCCGGACAATGACAGTAAAGGCATCATTCAAGTCAATCAATCAATCAATGTTACTCTGTTTTCATGCTTTGGACCAGTTTTAATTAGTATTCCTGTTTAAGAGAAGAAAACCTTTTCAGCAGTCTGTTTTTGTTGTTTCTAGTTGGAGAAGGCCAACTCTCGTATGAAGCAGTTGAAGCGGCAGCTCGAAGAGGCCGAGGAGGAGGCGACGAGGGCCAATGCCTTGCGCAGGAAGCTGCAGAGAGAGCTGGACGACGCCACCGAGGCCAGCGAGGGTCTGAGCCGCGAGGTTCACACACTCAAGAACCGTCTCAGGTGCAGCGCAGGCGCTTCTYATTCACAGCATCCAGGATTCACAACCACAGAAAGATCCGTTTCTTTTTTAGAGCTGCATCTCTCCTGCTGAATTTCTCACTTTCTCTTTCACAACTCTTGCAGCTTTAGAAAATACAATTAAAATAATACTTAAAAATTGTGGCTAAATCCAGATTAGTGAGACTTTTGGTAGCAGTACAGCATACTGCAACAGCAGTGAGAAACTCCAGACATTGTTGCTGCACAGTCATACTTCACAAAGAATTATCATACACAAAGATCACAGCARGATGGACTTAACATGTTTAAACAAACTCTTCTTATTCCTCTCGCAAACTCCTTATACAGTTTCTACACCAAAGCATCACATTTTGTCAGCTTAGATTATTACAAAATAAAAATCCCTAATTACTACGGGGTTTACTAAATTTAGCACAAAAAGTATGGAAATTAGTGTTTGGTAGATTATTTCTTTGTTGTAACAATGCTTCTTGGCTATAAGTCATATACCGTTGCAAAGTCTGTTCATTTCTCTTTTAAATGGTGCCACATTTGTAAGGAACATGCATTTGTGGGATGAGCAGTACAGCTGAGTATGTGGGTTGTGYACATGAAATATTTTACAAATTTCTGTCAAACAGCATTTATTTTGCTGTTGACACTTGTTTTGAGCTTCTGGTTCTCCAAGGTGTTGCCAATCAGGTTCACACTATAAGATTATAGCCAAGCAGCATTGTGGCAACACGACGGCTCAGTGGTTAGCACCGACGCCTCACAGCAAGGAGGTCCTGGGTTCGATCMCCTATTCTGACCTGGGGTCTTTCGATGCAGAGTTTGCATATACTCATGCTTGTGTGGGTTTTCTCTGGGTGCTCCTATTTCCCCCACCCCCAAAAAACATGTACAAAAGGCTGCCTTCAGGCCCAGGCCGCCCTTGAAAAAGAGATCTCATTGGGACTTGCCCGGTTAAACAACGATAAATAAATAAATAAAACATTACAACAAAGAAACAATCTACAAAACACATATTTTCTTACTTTTTGTGCTGAATATCAATGGTTGGCACAGCTAAAAAACAACAACTTTTATAGAAAATATGGCAGAATCTAAAGCTAGACTTCTAATATTTTATATATCAGTCCACCACACAGCAACCAGTACAATGTACCACTGCACTTCTGTATCACCTTTGAATGTACCCACCTCATGTGGTCAGTTTCAGTGGTGTTACAGCCGATAACTAAACTTCAACATGGATATCAAACCAAAACCTAAAGGCTTGTGACAAATGTAAGTCAACGCAACTCAAAATCCTTCATAGATCACAGATAAAAGTGTTTATATATCTTTTAGGGGTAAGATCTAAGAAAATAGAAGCAAAATCACAGTGCATTGCATGCTGGGTAATGGTCGCCATGTTTTCTGATAAAGCCAGAAGGCGAAGCTACAGCTGACAAACAGGAAAGCAGATGTAGGAGGGAAAAAAGGCCTGAGTTAGGGATGAGGTCATGGTTATATTTATGGTTTGCGGCCCATGTTGGCGATAGTCCTCAGTGTAGCCTTCATAAACAGCTGTGAAACGAGGCGGTCTAATCTACGGGTGACGTCTTTGCATGAGCAAGCACTGCCCCATTACCATAGTGGTACTTTTTATATCACATGCTTTCAGTTGTCTTTTCACAGTAAAACTTCACAAAACTCAGTATTATTAATGTCCTGATGCATTTCAGTAATCCAGGTAGAAAAATCAAAAATAAAAATAAGTAGGTCCTCTGGATGGGTTCTTCTTTAATAAAACATTTCGTCTCTCCTCCAAGAGACTTCTTCAGTCTGATGAGCTTCAGGTGAACTCAACCTTATAAGCACTGCCTCCACATGAGCCAGCACAGGCTAGTAACATCTACAGGCCAGCTGTCACTCTTTCAGGGATGAAGATGTTCTCATCCTTGATAAAGAAGAACACTGGTTTGAGAGAGGAGTAAAGGAAGCTATGTTTGTAAAGAAAAACTGTCCACCATTAAACAGAGGTGGAGATCTTCATGCCCAGTTGTCCTCCTCCTGCAACGCTGTTATTGCAAGTGACTCCGCCCCCTGTGAGCAAAAGGTATAAGTCAGGGCCCAAACGATAGTCAGGTAATGGTCACATGACCCTCTATGAACAATAGAGCTAATCAAGGCACTAACGACCTATTGTTTGGCTGATGGTCCTCTTTTGCATGTGACTAACCTGTTTGTCCATGTGGAGGCAGTGCTTATAAGGCTGAGTTCACCTGAAACTCTTCAGACTGGAGAAGTCCCTTGGAGTAGAGACGAAAAGTTTCATTAAAGAAGAACCGGTCCAGAGGACCTACTTATTGTTTCTTTTTGATCGATATTATTAAAACGTTACACATAACAAGGAAAAAAAGCATTTAGCTTTATCAAGAATGTTGCTGCTGCATGTGAAAGGCGGTCTTACTGAAAATATCAAGGAATTAGTGACGCATATTTAAAGATTTTTAAGAATAAACTATATTAATTTAACACGAGTTACGTCCATTACYAGTTAATGAAGTTAATGCAAATACTAAAACACAAAATATTAGTTCTGCTATTAAGGGGTTAGCGGATGATTTGAACTGCTCATCATTGGTAAGTGCAGAAGAAATTGACGTATGTTGGAATTTGCATTGGCACTCTTCAAATTGTCTTCAGAAACATTTTGGTTGTCTCTGTGCTCTTGCCTGTGGTGTCAGAACCCTTACCTTACCTTTGCTCCTCCTCCTCCTTCAGACGAGGCGGCCCCATCAGCTTCTCCTCCAGTCGTTCAGGCCGACGCCCACTGCAGGTGGAGGGAACCTCTCTGGAGCTGCTGTCAGACGACGAGCTGGAAAACAAGATCACTGACAACAACGCCAACGAGACCCCGGCTCCCCAGCCAGAGTAGAAGAACAAGAATCCTCCATCGACGCCTGCCTGAGCAGGAACCCGTTTCTGCATTTAAATGAATTTTCCAGCAGCTCCTCTGTCTCCAGATTACAGCCATATAATCTAAACCCATAGAGTTTTATTTTATCTAACCTATAATCCCTCATCCCCAGCAGACACCAGCAGTTGGAGCTCCAACACTCTCACTTTCACCCCACTTCATTTTAAACACTTCTCTGCCTTCACCCTCCTGTGAGCTGCAGAGCTGATCAGAAAGCCTAAAACCTCCAGTAACACCAATAAACCCCTGCACACGTTAGAAACACGTAACCCAGCTCGTAATGCAGCGAGTGAAAAATATTCTGACCTGGAGCAGCAGTTAGCTGCTTAAATGCTTCCAAATGTTACAACGAGACTGTGATATGTGACTGGAACAAACTGTAAAAAAAAAAAAAAAAGAAAGAAAAGAGTTTCTGATTTGATTTTGTCATCTGTCTTCATCATTCTGTTGGTGCATCTTAYGAATCAGTTTAATCGTGTACGCTGAGCTGGAGCTGAATAGTCATTTTCGGGTCCTGTGCCTGGGATTGTTTGCTTGCATATGAATATAGAAATGTGACTGTAAGCTGCCTTGTTGCCTCAGAGCTGCAGATTATTGTTTTGTTTTTCAGGTGTTCGACAGTAGGTTAGCGTTGACTTGTAACTGTTGGGTGTGAGCGCTCCTCTTCCCTTGCTTCTTCTATTGTGCCTTTTTCACTCATTTGGAAATCATTTATGCTTCACATATAGCTCACATATTGAATCATGTATAATTCCATGAAGGTATTTTCATAAGAAATATCATAAATTTGCATATTTTAATGACATTTTAGTGGAAACCTGACAAATGTCTTCCTCCAGCTTTTTATGTCCTGATGATATTTGATGTGTCGGCAGCACGAGGATCTTTGTAGATGGGTGCTGACTTTTCTTGTTCTAACCTTTTGTACTTTGAGTTATGAAGATTTGAAAAACAGTCCAATAGAGTCCTTCTGTATTTATATCTCTGCCATTGTTTACAATACAAACTGCATTCATACTGCAGCCTGCTCACTRTCACACGTTAATCCTCTAAACTCTTTTCTCATGAGTTACATTGGAGTAATTAGGAGTTTTGTGTTGCATTAAAGTCTTGGTTGAGTTCTAAAAGGTTCAGTAATGATCTCCATTCAAAGTTTTGGGTTTAAAACAACATAAAATAACATTTCACTAATTATTAATATTTTATTGAGGGTGCAAATATGGTGCAGTTAATACTCTTCTGTTTCTGTCACTTTTTTTGCTGCACTACTCCTCACACAGCTTTACAAAGAGTGTGAAAAAACATCAAATTAAAGGTCTAGAATTTCCTGAAGGAATGCATATCTCTTGCTGCCTTTTCTGCCAGACTTTTAAACTGAAATCCATCTTGTTCTGGGAGGAAAAAGGGAGTGTAAGCCTTTTATATCAAACCTTGTAAATTACATGGTGCAGGATTTCATGTGACGTGAAATCATGCAAGGTCATTTAAACATAGGRAAAAATTTGTTCAAATATTATTAATTATATCAAAAAGTCCCTCAGGAAACACAATCATAAACTTTCTCCAGATTCACAAAACAGGTAAATTGGACAAATAAAGTCCCATGACTTTAATAGCAGTTCTGCAGGGGGAAGCATTTAGACCACAATTTTATGACCCAGACGAAAGCCACACCGTGCAAAAATAAATCATACAAACCAAAAGCAGGCACTGAGTTTAAATTCATCAGAGCTATAATTACATCAAAGTTTTTTATGTTTGTCTCAGCTGTGGACTTCAGTGCAACTAATATCTGACACTGCTGTGAACAAAGCAATGCAACTTTCTAACTGTGTCGTCAAAACAGGTATGTTGATAAATTCATGCTTATTTTTGCTGTTTATTTAACCCTGCAAAAGTACAAACCAAAAATGTGGTTTAAATGCAAAACTTCTAATTTTGTTTACAAAGTTCAAGTTGTTACAACAAACAAAATTACTGCTGTACAATGCAATGTCCAGTACACAGTTTTGTCCACTAGATTTCGCTGTTTTCATAGAGTGAGCCCCGCCCATGGTGTCCACTGTCAGCGTCATGGAGCAACAATGGTGACGAAACAGGGCGACAGCTCACAGCCGTCATAAGCCCAACTGGATCTGTGTCCCAAATTATCTGTATTTTTTTTTACTATAAATTAATACAATTCTTTAAGTTTTATTAAACAATCATGTAAAACAGCAGATATATACAGTAAAAATATATAATTTATAAGTAATGATCTAAACCAGACCTGAAGTCAGTTAATAACTTAAACTTTTAACTAGATGAAAAATTATGACTTCAACTTATTTCTTACCTGTCATAATATTCACTTATAGGATGGAACTTAACTGATATTAGCTAAACATCTTCTAAACAGGTCAGGTTTGTCTACTGAAACTGAAAAAATAATCAAATATTATTTTACAGTGTAAATATGAATCAGAAGCACAACCAGCTTGTACTATTTAATAATTTGTGTTAAATTGTAGCATGATTCAGTAGAGTGCTACACTCTGCATAACAAGATGCTACAGAAGCTAATACTGCATCTGCTAAACAATTTATTGAATAACTGAAATTAAAATAAACTTATAATGCTGATGTAAATTGTTACATTATTAACTTCAGTTCTTGTCAGATCACATCCATTTTATAAGCTACAGTAGATCACACGGTCACCTGGTCAAAACTCACTCCAGCTGTTTTATCTACCTCCATGTTCACAAAACTGCAACAATCCTTCCAAAGACCAGGTGTATAAAAAATAATTTCTTTCTCTAAAAGGCAGGATTCTGTCCAGGTGAACTTACACTGCAATGTGAGTTTGTTGTTTGTCCAAATGAAAACTTTGATACAATCCTGTGCTTTGAGGGAAAGATAAAAAACCTCTGTCTCAACTTTACAGGCCTCTTGTTAGTGATCAGGCTACACAACCTGCTCCGCCTGTCCACATGAAGCCAGTGGGGCGGGCTGAGAGGGCAGCATAAGCTTACTAATCAGCTCAGGACAACCTGGCAGCATGAAGAACGCACAGTGATCCACTGCTAAGGAATGGGGAAAGAGATAAATAAATGGAAAGGAGCGAACAAAGAGATAAGACAGATGAGCTTCATGCAGGTGTAAGTGGGCGGGGCAGAAGCAGAAGCCAACTTAGGGAAAGTCCTGAGAAGATTGAACTGAGAAATTAAACATAATATCCACAAAAGGAAATAAACATAAAACACAAAAGACTATCAAAACCCTCGACCCCATAAAAACACAGATCCTGACAATAGTTAAGGTGTAGAAATATGTTTGACCCTGTGTAGATTAGAAAAAAATCCATGCARGGATTAAAATTACGTTTATGTCCATGAATGCAAGGAAACTTCTGAATATAAGCACAAAGTGAGGCTTTTATCTCAAAACCCCTCATTTTGACACTATATTAATATATTTGTATTTWACTTGCTGACTGTTTAGTTTAAATTTATCAGTCTGAGCCAAATGTCGTTAACCTCTTATCCTGTGCAAACTGTCCGGCCTAAAATTCCTTAAACTAACCTTATATTTTCTTTAAATTTGTGAAATCCTTCAATTACGGTAATTCTATGTTGAATAGTTGGTGAGGAATTTAAGCAAGCTTCTAAATTATATGAACTGCTATTAAAAAAACAATGACTTCACTGTTCAACTTGATTTTTTTTAGTTTAAAATAAAATAACGTTAAAAAAATCCTCAGTAGTTTGAAGGATCAAAGGTGCAGATGCTGAGCTGTAGGTGTGGCAAATAATACCTGACATTCTGCCATATATTTACATGCAGTGTGCCTGACGATTGTTGAAAGACGTGGAAATATAACCCAAATTGTTTGCACAGATTAAAAGAAAAAGTTCAGGAACAATAAGGTGCCTTTACACTGTCAGAATACAGTCGATATGGGAAAAGTTGCAACATGAGACAACTCTTATCTCAACTTGGAAACAAAAAACTCGCTGCATTTCCTTCTTTATTTCTCGGCATTAAGCAAACAGGTTGAGCGACTCATCCGGATTGTTGGTGGTTTGGGAAGTTCCAGAGTTGACGAGAACAAGATTAATATTTTTTTTCCTTCAGTGTCAAAAATACGGCGGGTAAAATAAGTATTAAACACGTCACCATTTTTCTCAGTAAATATATTACTAGAGGTGCTAATGACA